TAGCATTTTTATCAATATATATATATATATATATATATATATATATATATATATATATATATATATCAATTTTGTTGGTAAATTTATCAATTTTGTTTCCCAATACTTTTAACTTGTATAAGTTCTGCAATACTCTCTTCGATAAAATTTATGTTTTTTTTTTCGTGTTTTTCCCCAATTTGGAACACATTCATATGCTTCTCTAAATGCTCGGAATTTTCATTATTAAAATCATTCTTGCCCTTGTTTATCTCTATCACTGAAAATTTTTAGACTGTTGGTGCCCAAAAAATGCAGAACAGATTCTTATCCGAAGTCCAGAAATTGGTGCTATGCCGACCTAAGGTATTCCATTGTTATGTTACAATAATTACAATCTCTTATTCAATTCATGTTAATCTTTTGTCATTTCATTCGCTTTATGTTTTTACCTCTGATAATGTCCTTAAAATTTAATACCATTGAGCAGATTGTAAGTTCCAACAACTATGCAACTATTGATTTAGACAAGGCAAGGGTTGGGCGGACTAGACTGATAGAAAATGAATCCTCCAATCCTCGGTGGTATGAGTCCTTTCGCATCTACACTGCCCATGAGGTTTCTTATATTATATTCACCATCAAAGATGATAATCCTATTGGCGCAAGACTAATTGGAAGAGCTTATCTGCCTATTGAGGAAGTTATAGATGGCATTATGGTGGACAGATGGATCACCATATTGGATGAAAACCTTAAACCTTTATCTGGAAATTCTAAAATCCATGTCAGGGTGCAGTTTTTTAGTGTTACCAAAGACGATAATTGGTCTCAAGGAATCCAAAGTTGGACATTCAAAGGAGTCCCTTTTAGTTTCTTTAAGCAGAGAGAATGTTGCAGAGTGACACTATACCAAGATGCTCATGTCCCAGATGGTGTTATCCCCGATTTCGTTCTATCTGAAGATAAAACTTTCAAGCCTCAAAAATGCTGGGAGGACATCTTTGATGCTATCACTAATGCGAAACACTTAATTTATATCACGGGGTGGTCTGTCTATACTCAAATCACCCTTATAAGGGATCCGAGGCGGCCAAAACCTGGAGGAGGCATTACGCTTGGGGACCTGCTCAAGGAAAAGGGCAGTGAAGGTGTGAGGGTTCTTATACTTGTTTGGGATGACAGAACATCAGTGGAGGCATTGACGAGAGATGGCTTGATGTCAACCCATGATCAAAACACTGGAGAGTACTTTCGAAACACAAATGTTCGTTGCATTTTGTGTCCCCGTAATCCTGATGATGGAAGGAGCATAGTTCAGGGATTTGAGGTTTCTACCACGTTTACACACCATCAGAAGACTCTAATAGTGGACAGTGAAGTCCCTGGAGGAGAGTCACAAAAGAGGAGGATTGTGTGTTTTGTTGGCGGTATTGATCTATGTGATGGACGATATGATACTCCAGAACATTCTCTTTTCAGGACCTTGGACACAACTCATCATGATGATTTCCATCAATCCAACTTTAAAGGCTCTTCTATCACAAAAGGAGGTCCTAGAGAGCCCTGGCATGACATTCATTGTCGGCTAGAAGGGCCTGTTGCATGGGATGTGCTGTACAATTTTGAGCAAAGGTGGAAGAAGCAAGTTGGGAATGAGTTCCTTTTTTCTATCAACGAGCTTCATAATATCATCATTCCTCCATCGCCAATTACATCACCTCAAGACCCCGAAACATGGAACGTGCAGATATTCCGATCAATTGATGGTGGTGCTGTTTATGGATTCCCCGAAAATCCTAACGATGCAGCTGAACTAGGCCTTGTTAGTGGGAAGGATAACGTCATTGATAGAAGCATTCAGGATGCTTATATCAATGCCATTCGAAGAGCAAAGAATTTTATCTACATTGAAAATCAGTATTTTCTTGGCAGCTCATATGGCTGGAAACGAAGCGACATTATAACCGAGGACATTGGTGCTTTGCATCTTATACCAAAGGAGCTATCGCTAAAGATTGTTAGTAAGATTGAAAGAGGGGAGAGGTTTACTGCCTACGTTGTAATTCCAATGTGGCCAGAAGGTATACCTGAGAGTGGTTCTGTTCAGGCAATATTAGATTGGCAGAGGAGAACAATGGAGATGATGTATGCAGACATCGCTCGTGCCCTACAAGTTAAGGGACTTACAGCAGACCTTAGAGAGTATCTGACATTTTTCTGTCTTGGCAACCGGGAAGTCCAGAGAACAGGAGAGTATACACCTCCAGAGAAACCAGAGCTTAATACTGATTATAGTAGAGCTCAGCAGTCCCGACGCTTCATGATCTATGTTCACGCAAAAATGATGATTGGTGAGTGAGTAGTAGCTTTACACTTGCATAGACGTGCGAGTGAAAACAAAACTAACTACTTCTTGATGTTGCGTTTAGATTAAATTTGACATAGAACTCTAATTTAGTTGTACATATGTTGTGTTCTCAGTTGATGATGAATACATAATCATTGGATCTGCCAACATCAATCAAAGGTCAATGGACGGTGCAAGAGACTCGGAGATTGCAATGGGAGGCTTCCAGCCGCATCATTTAGCAGCCAAGGAGCGAGCTAAGGGTCAGATATACGGTTTTCGAATGGCCTTATGGTATGAGCACCTTGGAGATGTAGAGGATATACTTCTTCATCCAGAGAGTATAGAATGTGTGCGAGCGGTGAACGCAACTGCTGATAAAAACTGGACATTCTATTCAAGCGATACATTTGATCGTGACCTTCCAGGCCATCTTCTTAGCTACCCTATAGCAATCTCCAAAAATGGAGCAATTTCTGCATTGCCAGGATTCGACTTCTTTCCTGACACAAAAGCTCGTGTGCTCGGCTGCAAATCTGAGTACATTGTTCCAATCCTCACTACATAATCATATTGTTGATGGAATTAATGTTACTTATTGGTAAACTGTAAAAGGCAATAACTAATAAGCTACTCTATCAAAGCAATAATAACAGTTGTTTCTTTATATGTTTTTATGTGTCTACTTACTGAATGTTCTCTCTATAAAGCATGTTTTTTTCACAGGTATATCTATATATATATATATATATATATTGTTTTGCAGGATCATGGTTTGTTGGGTTGAGCATGTATCAACAATGGAGGTAAACATAAAATAAAAAAATAAAAAAAAAAGGACACTTGTGCATATTAGTTTAGTGATTACAAGTGAAGAATGTTAAAGAAGCTATGCAGAATATAGGAGGAAAGTGGGAAGGCTAAAAAGCCTAAAGTAGGGCTTTAATAGATGCTTAATTGAAACAATGATGATTAATACCATTACCAACATCAACCACAAATCTGCCACTGAACCTGGGAGGGAGGGAGCTAGAAATTTTATTCGGGGTACATTAAATGTTTTGAAATAATATGACAAATATATAGGTACAAAGAATCAACTCGTTAAACTCGATCAAAATCGGTCCACCGATCACTAGATTTACATGTAACATTCGTGGTTTTAGACCCAAATTCAATAGTTTTTTTTTTATTTTTTTAACGTTTTTACAATCACAGATATAAAATAGTAAGGTAAATTACGGATTTGGATCCCCTTTTGTGCCACTCGACGTCCTGAGCACAAGAAAGAGTTAAGATCACTCCATGTGAATTAGAATTCACACTATTTTTGGAAATCACAATTCACATGGAATCATCTCTACCCTTTACATGTACACAGGATATGATCCTCTTCCGTAAGCTACATTGATCTCCTTGAGGTTTCGAACCTCACCTATGGTTTCCTAAATTACTCTAACTACCCCTAAAAACGAAACTTATTACACGAATCTCTCTTTTTAACGGTTAGTCAATGACGGAATTTGCTGATGTCACATACTTAACATATTCAAAATACCAATATTGCCCTTGTTTGAATTGAAAAACATTTTGAACCTTTAAAAGTAAGGTGAGATTAAAAAAAATGCCCTTATCTTTTCCAATATATCCATTACAGAGTCTTCACATCTCATTTCAGTACCAAGAAATCAGCGGGCTCAACATAAGGTCCAATGAAATCACAGGCAAATCTCACTGCAAGAAGACATTTCTAGCATATGGAGAGTCATTTACTCTCATTGACACTAACCTATTTTTTATCAGATCTGCAATTCCAAAAAGCATAACCGTTTGATCAATTCATTAACAAAGTAGAAATGGGCCGAGCTACGGGCTCAAATTCTCAGGAGATATAATAATCATATGCTGTTAGCCCAATATAAAAACATTCATGCTACAACTTAGTCCGATAAAATTAAGTTAGCCCTTAAGCCCATATTATGAAAGGTTGAAGCCCAATCAAGTATACAATTGGATCACAAGTCCCAAGCTCAAGCCCAAAACTCCATCATCACTACGACGCCGGTTATTCCCAGAATGCCGAATCTCTTAAACCCCATTCAGAAGAACTCCCATTTCTTCACCTTCACACTCAAATTTCTTGCAAAATTCCCAAGCAAAAGGTCGAATACATTCTCTCTCTACAATGCACGTAAATGCAATATCTGCACACATATATATATATATATATATATATATACATGAATATACTTATATGTTAGCATAAAGATTCTCCTCTTAACCAGAGTCATCTCTTTCTTGAAAGCAAAGATGACCTTTAGATTCTTTTCAGCTGTGTGTGTATATATGTGTATATACACACACGTACTAATATTCTGTTATCTCCATGAAATTTTCCTGAAGCCTCCCAAAAAGGGTACATAACTGTACAAAAACAGAGCTATTCGGGTACAACTTGATCAATTCATCCCTGTGGCCTCACATTAATTAGTCATAAGGTTGTTTTATACATTTATGTATATAATTGATTTGATTACAACCCTTTTCATTTATATATTATATAAATATATTGCTCTCAATTAATGCATTTATATATATGGTTGGTGATAATTTTGTGATTTGGGTTATTTCCATTTTTTGATTTGATTTGATTTGATTTTTGGAGGTTTTACTAGTGTTGCCATGGCTCCACGTTTGCTTCACGGCACCCTTGATGCCACCATCTATGAAGTTGATAGGATACGTACTAGATGTTGTTTCAATTTATGCCCAAAGGTACATCTTTAATTTCTGCTTTTGATATACACACACATACCTTTACACGTGCGACGTGTGGTTGATAAAACTGAAAATTAAAATTCCAAGTGTTAGAACTATGAACTTCTTTGATACTAATTGGGTGTATTCTTTCACTTAAAATTTTACATTGTTTCAATTTGTATTTTCAAACTCACTTAACTGGACAATAACTTAATATTCAGAATTAATTAAGTGCTAATTTGAATCAAGAAATGGAGGACATGTGTATTTGTTATTTTTGTGTGTACTTACTTCTTGTGTATAATACTTATTATTGAATTTGATGTTGATTATCTACAAAAATAGTGATAAAAAAGGATATAAGTCCATAAAAATCGATATTATGAGTTAGCAAAAAGTTGTATGATAGTTGTGTTGAGGTTGTAGAGCATGATCACTAGTTTAGATTGCAGTTCCGGAGAAGTTCCACCGGTCGCACTTTTACAGACCAGTCACACTTGTCTCACAACGAGAGTTCTGAGAAGTCCGACCGGTTGCACTTTTACCGACAGGTCCAACATGTTTCAGTTGGAACATGCAGAGAAAAGTCCGCAGGGTCCGACCGGTTGCAGTTTTGGCCTAAAAAGCCCAACCGGTCGCATTTGCCTGATGTGTGCGAGATTTGTTTCCTTATCTGATTTTTCTCTTTCCAAAAAGCTGCAGACTTGTGGAGCAAGTGGTTTCTCTACAAACCCTAGTGCTAGTGAGAGCCAATCTTGTGGGTGAGAGTGTGTTGTGCCGGCCACAAGAGAGAGAGAGAGCAAGAGATTTGTAATCCTCCATCTTATTCACAGTGAATTTGTTCTGTACGTTTCGTGGACGTAGGCAAAATGATTTTGCCCCACATATATCTTTTGTGATTGCTTGCTTGCTTGCTTGCGTTTACTCCCAACAAGTTAATCAAAATATCCAATGGTTGTTTTTAATATCATGAGCTAGCAACTGAAATTATAATACTAAGCTGGATCAAGAAAATGAAAGAAAATATTTGAAATGAAACAATTTGGCAACGTAAAGTGGGCAAGATTAGAAGACATGATTAAGAAAGAAAAAAGATTATGTTTGGCTATGTGTTAAAAAGTTTAATGACTGCAAAGACAACGTACCTGTTGCCTGTGACTTGATGGAAATTTTGGCCCCATAATAGGTTTTGTAGATACACATGGTCGTTAGAATATGGATTCATTAAACTAAATTGATTGATATGACTCTGACAACAAGTTTTCTTGTAAGTTCTGTGATAAAAAAAAAAAAAGAGTGACTTATTGTTTATGTTTTTTCCTCCAATTTTTTATCAGTTCATAGACTATAAAAATTACTGCAGTTCGTGAAAAAATATGATTCGAGCTAATAATTAACTTATCATGGTTCCTAGGGCATCAATACTAATGGTAATTTTCTTTGATATAACTCCCTAGAGTTGAGATCAGAACTAATATTGAGGCTGATGCTGTGAAGTACTTTGTCCAGGCCTTGGTTTTCATCAGTAGTACTAGTTTCACCTTAATGCCGAACTTGGTTGCCAAAAAATCAAATGGATGAAACAAATAATCGATTAGTTTTCATGAGAGTCACTTTAATCAGAATTGTTGAAATTTCGCTTTTTTAAATATTGATAAAGAGTATTTTTTGGTATTGAAACCTCAAATTTACTTGAACCTCAAGACCTACCCAAAAAGGCAACTGTGGTTCATTAATAAAACTGGCAACCTTTAATATATAGCTTGACAATATATTGCTGCTTCCATATGCTTCTGGTATATATAGAGATAGATTTTAAAATTTAATTGTGTAGAGATTAAAGTTTGCTATGGTAAATGTGTTTAAATTTATCAATTTTGTTTCACAATACCTTTAATTCTTCTAAGTTCTGCAATACTTTGTGTGTTTAAATTTATGTTTTTCCCAATTTGGAACACATTCATATGCTTTTCTAAATGCTTGTATATATATATTTTTTTAAATCTTCCTTGCCCTTCTTTATCTCTGTCACTGAAAATATAGAGACTGTTGGTGCCCAAAAAATGCAGAGCAGATTCTTATCCCAAGTCCAAAAATTGGTGCTATGTGCACCTAAGGTATTCCTTCGTTATGTTACAATAATTACAACTCTTATTCAATTTATGTTAATCTTTTGTCATCTCATTTGCTTTATGTTTTTACCTCCGATAATGTCCTTAAAATTTAATACCATTGAACAGACTGTAGGTTCCAACAACTATGCAACTATTGATTTAGACGAGGCAAGGGTTGGGCGGACTAGAATGACAGAAAATGAATCCTCCAATCCTCGGTGGCATGAGTCCTTTCACATCTACACTGCCCATGAGGTTTCTAATATTATTTTCACCGTCAAAGGTGATAATCCAATTGGCGAAACACTAATTGGAAGAGCTTATCTGCCTGTTGAGGAAGTTATAGATGGCAGTATGGTGGACAGATGGATCACCATATTGGATGAAAACCATAACCCTGTATATGGAAATTCTAAAATCCATGTCAGGGTGCAGTTTTTTAGTGTTACTAAAGACAATAATTGGTCTCGAGGAATCCAAAGTTCGACATTCAAAGGAGCCCCTTATACATTCTTCAAGCAGAGAGAATGTTGCAATGTGACACTATATCAAGATGCTCATGTCCCAGATGGTGTTATCCCCGATTTCATTCTATCTGAAGATAAAACTTTCGAGCCTCAACCATGCTGGGAGGACATCTTTGATGCTATCACTAATGCAAAACACTTAATTTATATTACCGGGTGGTCTGTGTATGCTCAAATCACCTTGATAAGGGATCCGAGGAGGCCAAAGCCTGGAGGAGGCATTACGCTCGGAGAACTGCTCAAGAAAAAGGCCAATGAAGGCGCGACAGTTCTTATGCTTGTTTGGGGCGACAGAGCGTCAGTTGAGATTAAGACATTGAAGAGAGATGGCTTGATGACAACCCATGATCAAGACACTGGAGATTACTTTCGAAACTCAAAAGTTCGTTGCGCTCTGTGTCCCCGAAATCCTGATGATGGAAAGAGCGTAGTTCAGGGATTTGAGGTTTCTACCATGTTTACACACCATCAGAAGACTGTAGTGGTGGATAGTGAAGTTCCTGGAGGAGAGTCAGCAAAGAGGAGGATAGTGTGTTTTGTTGGCGGTATTGATCTATGTGATGGACGATATGATACTCCAGAACATTCTCTATTCAGGACTTTGGACACAACTCATCATGATGATTTCCATCAACCCAACTTTAAAGGCTCTTCTATCACAAAAGGAGGTCCTAGGGAGCCCTGGCATGACATTCATTGTCGGCTAGAAGGGCCTGTTGCATGGGATGTGCTGTACAATTTTGAGCACAGGTGGAAGAAGCAAGTTGGGAATCAATTCCTTTTTTCTACCAATGAGCTTAATGAAATCATTATTCGCCCTTCGCCAATTACATCGCCTCAAGACCCTGAAACATGGAACGTGCAGATATTCCGATCAATTGATGGTGGTGCTGTTTATGGATTTCCTGAAAATCCTAAGGATGCAGCCGAAGTAGGCCTTGTTAGTGGGAAGGATAACATCATTGACAGAAGCATTCAGGATGCTTATATCAATGCCATTCGAAGAGCAAAGAATTTTATCTATATTGAAAATCAGTGTTTTCTCGGTAGCTCATATGGTTGGAAATCAAAAGATATTAAAGATGAGGACATTGGTGCTTTGCATCTTATACCAAAGGAGTTATCACTAAAGATTGTTAGTAAGATTGAAGCAGGGGAGAGGTTTACTGTCTACGTCGTAATTCCAATGTGGCCAGAAGGTATACCCGAGAGTGATTCTGTTCAGGCAATATTAGATTGGCAGAGGAGAACAATGGAGATGATGTACAAGGACATTGCTCGTGCCCTACAAATTAAGGGCCTTACAGCAAATCTTAGAGAGTTTCTGGCATTTTTCTGCCTTGGGAACCGGGAAGTCCATAGACCAGGAGAGTATACGCATCCAGAGAAACCAGACCCTGATACTGATTACAGTAGAGCTCAGCAGTCCCGACGCTTCATGATCAATGTTCACTCAAAAATGATGATTGGTGAGTGAGTAGGTTTACACTTGCATAGACACACTAGTCAAGCAAAACTAACTATATTATTGGAAATAGAGGATTCTACTTTTTTTTGCATTTAGACTAAATTTGACATAGAACTCTAATGTAGTTGTACATATTTTGTTTTCAGTTGATGATGAATACATAATCGTTGGGTCTGCTAACATCAATCAAAGGTCAATGGACGGCGCAAGAGATACCGAGATTGCAATGGGAGGCTACCAGCCACATCATTTAGCAACCAAGCAGGCGGTTAGGGGTCATGTACACGGTTTCCGAATGGCCTTATGGTATGAGCACCTTGGAGATGCAGATGACATACTTCTTCATCCAGAGTCTCTCGGTTGTGTCCGGGCAATGAATACAAGTGCTGATGACAACTGGAAAATCTATTCGAGCGAAGCATTTGAGCATGACATTCCTGGCCATCTTCTTACCTACCCCATAGCAATCTCCGAAAATGGAGCAATTTCTGCATTGCCAGGATTTGAGTTCTTCCCCGACACAAAAGCTCGTGTCCTCGGCACCAAATCTGACCACCTTCGTCCAATCCTCACTACTTAAACCACATTGCTCTCCATATACTCGTAGTACATTGTTGTTGTGATAATCATATTTAGAGAGGAAACCTTCGTGGTATGTAAAATCACTTAAAATCTCTTCTCTAGGGGTCTTATTATAACCGTGACCCTAGAATTGGGTTAAATTGTGTAAAATATTGTGTTGTGCGTAAATATATATAATTCTTATCTTTGTGTGTGTGTGAATATGATACTTTCGTCTTTTCATGTGTCGTGTACGATGAATGAAAGGATTAATTTTTAACTTTTTGCATAGATTTTTAATTTTCTACTCTCCACAATAGAGAAATAATTAAATGATCCTGATTAAGTGTTATACCACCAGTTAAATACATGCTCTCATATGGATAAAATGACCTTATAAGAGTATATTAATAAATTACAAAGTTTCATGATAAATTAATCCACCGAGTGTGGAATAGACAAGGACCAAAAGTATATGGTAATTTCTCCGACACGATGACATGCAAAGCTTTATTAATTTGCCACATGGCTTACTTCCATTGGCTGGAACAAATGGTAGGCTACCTAATAGTTTCTTGCAGCGTTAGACCACTATCTACTCTCTCACTAGAACTCTTCCTTCTCTCTCTTCCTTTCCCGATAATTTCAGAGAGAGAGAGTGAGAGCAATCACAGGGCGATCAGTTTCACGCAAGGCGAATTTGCAATATAGCAACCCGAGAAATCAGTATGTTACTTATTTCACAGGTCTCAAAATCCCTCTTCTCTATCTTCAGATTGTTTGGTTGCTGAGAAAACTGAGGAAATTACAAGATAATGAAAAAGGAAATGTTTTAATACTGTGCTTCATTTTCCAAAGTATTAAGAAGCCTTGTACAAGAGTAAAAAAAAAAAGTTAAAGATTGGGATTTTTTTAATCAAACGTGGGTGCGATTGATCTTAAGTTGCTTTGGTTCTTTAATCGATTTGCAGGTTATTGAGTTGTTCTCTCCTTCTGCGATTCTGCGTTTTGCGATTGAGATCTGTTCTTTGACAACTTGTTTTCGTGGTTAAATGCAACTCTGTGGATCACTTCCCTATTGGATCTGACATATCATCGTATGCATGGGGTGAGTTCTTCCTCTCTCTCTAAATATGTGTGTGTGTGTGTGTACTGATGCTGGATGATCTGTTTGGATGCTGAGAACACATGTTAGAGAAGGGTAGAAATTGAAATTATGAAAATTTTTGCAAATTTTCATTTTTCTTTTTCAGGGAGGACAGCAAAGAGAATAAAACTTTATAAATTAAATATTATTTCTTTTCATCAATTTCCTGGGCAACCAAACAGAGAACTAGAGTTCCTTTCCGTAGTTCAACTTTTCCTTTTCTTAGTTTGGCACCTTATGTTTGCTTGTAGTTTAAGCGATCTTAACATTGAGTAAAACAGAAATGTGTTTGGGGCTTTGTTTTGTTTGTCATACTTTGCTTGACGTATCAAAGAGTGGTCTTATATTCAACACATAACAATATTGTAAAGCATCAAAAGAGATACTACAAGCTATGTATCATAGGTGTTGTTTTTCAGTTCAAATGGAGAAGTGCTTTGGAAAGAAGCCGTGTTGTTCGTTCTTGGGGTTTTCTGGAGCTTATTTTTGTGCACTTTCTGATTTCGTGATGAAAAAGTTGAGGGATAAGTACAGGGCTCTTTTCGGTGTAAGAAACTTATATTTCCTCTTTTGTTATTATTTTTTTCTATAATGTCAATTCAAGGCTTAAAGGAATATCTTAGGATAATTAACTGAAGAGAAATGATAATGATCCATTTGGTATTGTTGTTGAATACTGTTTCTTGATATCTATTTTGACTAGCACAAAAAAACAGTTTCATCAGGGTTTTATTCAAATACTGCTATTGAAAATTTTCCTTACAGCACAATTAGAGGGTCTTGAATTTTGAATGAATTAGTGATATAACAATAATAACATTAAAAGTGCTTGTTTACTATGATTAGGATATTATTCAGATTGTATAATGTTTGATGGTGCAACTGTTTTCTAATATAATGTTCTGATATGTGGTGCAAATTTTAGGGCCTTATTTTGCAAACACGATGACATGATGCATGGAAATTTATTTTAATATTGTTATCTGAGGTGTAGCTTTTAAATGATTTTCTCGAACTAGCTGTTCCATTTGCTTATTAACTATAACCCTAATTGAGAAGGAAGAAGAGTACAACATGCAAGCAGAGAAAACCAAATTCTTGAGGATCTACAATAATAGTGACTTATGTTTTGAAAAATTCTTGAGGATCTACATCTTGCCAACATAATCTCAAGTTCTTATTTCTGTATTGAAGAGCAAAAAGTATTGTTTGAGAAATTCACTTGTTAATTGTAAATTTATTTTAACACTACAATTTGTAATGTTAAAATAAGCATTCTTGTTTTCTTGCTCGAGTGTTTGCCATTAATTCCTTCAACCTCAAGTTGTAACATGTAGACTTCTCTCTCTATATATAATATGTAAATGCAAAATGATTGCATTCATATGTTAAATATATTATATAAAATGCAAGCAGTCATGATCCATAAGAAGATAGATAATCGAGAATGACAGACTGGCTGGCATGGAACACATTATATATATCACGACAAAGTCCACAAGGACCATATATTCCGTGGATTGGTTGTTGATGATTGATCAACCCTAATTATTTCATCATCGAACAATGGAGATATTTTTACACTGCAATTATGTGAAATGAGCTAAGTGAGTCTGAATGTAACCCTACATCTCTGCTAAATTTGGTCAAAAGTTCCAGCGACATATATAGGAGGGCCCAGCTCTCCGAGCTGGTGTGCCTGTGTTCGAGTCCCCCCGCCCCTAATTTGTCAGGATAATATAATAGAAAAAATTACAAGCGACCATGTGTCCTCTTTCATGCGGAATGCTGAAGCATTAATGCTCAAATGTTTGAATCTGTTTATGTTATGGACTTACTTAAGTAAGTTTATTTACAGAATTCAACTTCTATGAGAAAGTTGCTGTTGGAGTTGTAATATATGGAGCCGAGTCTGTTCGAAATTGTTCAGGATTTTGTTTATTTTGCGACTTAGTTTGTGCTCATGAAAAGATTAGAAACTAAGCTTGAGCTTGGCTCGGGCATGATCCCGAGTTAGTTCGATTCGGCTAGTAAGTTCGTGAAATATATTTCTTAATTTTCTTATTATACCCTTTACTTTTTTGTATTTTTGTTATATTTAATTTCTTCAAATCATATTTATTTTTATCATATCTTTGTTATAATCTATTTTTTATATATGCAAAAATGATTGATTTTTCTTTTCTTTTCTAAAATGATTGAAATTCATTTGATGTATCTTTGGCACCCAAATTGAGGATTATTGGTTTTTACTAATCATTTTCTATGGTTACAAACCTAATTTGCAACAGAGCAGTGGTTGTCTTGGATGTTGTGCTAGGCCATCACTGATTATTTCTGCCGATGAGCCATCAAAGGGATTGAGAATCCAAGGACGAACAGTAAAAAAAGCTACCATAGCAGAGGACTTTCGTAGCGCTAGCACATGTGAGATGGACAATAGTGCAATTCAGTCACAGAGAAGTGCCTCATCTGTCAGCACATCAAACCAGGCTCTTTTTCCCAACAGCGGTCCTGGCAGCACAAACAATCCTAGTGAATTTGTAAATCATGGCAAGTTCAACTTTGTCGAATTTTTCTGCTATTTTACTTCAATTAATGGTTGCGTACCCCATTGATTCAACCTTTTGTGGATGTGTTGCCAAGTAATTGTTTTCCATTATATCACTTCAGTACCCCATTTAGAATGTATACCCGCCCCCTCAGCCGTTAACTATAGAGTTAACAATCTTATGTAGATGATGGCTTTATTGGGGTGCTATGAGAACCAGTGGTTCATGGAGCTATCTCATGGCTGCTGGGTTGCAGTTGATTTTAGATCTGGGACGGTGTTAATAAACTAAATTGCTGTGATGTCTATGATGCTGCAGTTCAACTGCTATGAAGTGTCATGGAAGTGGCTTCCACAACATATGGGGACTGGTTCTATTAAATATGGCTATTATTCTTTCTTGAAATTAATTGAGATGCTGCGGTGTCAATGCTGCTACAATGCAGCTGCCATGAACTGTCGTGAAAGTGGTTTTCACAATGTGTAGAGCTGCTCCTGATAAATATGGCTGTCAAAGGGGTCGTTACTTAGCTGGGTGTTGTGAGTGCTGGACCCGATTCAGACCTAACCTTTTGACATTATTTGCACAAAGTTACTGTTCTCAATCCAAACCCACCTTCCCAGCTTGACAGCCCTAGCATTTTACCAGTGCACTAAGCAATGACTCAAAAATAGGACTGTCGTCCATGTTCTGTTAATTTTTTGAATTACCATTACAGATATTTGAAGGAAAAGCATGGATGGACGGGTTCGTCCACACTCTTTTTACTTGTTCTATTTGTTTTTAGACTTTTTATGGTCTTGTGCTTTTTTGTGCATTATTATATCTGCTTTGAAGTTGATGTAGTCAATGTCTGTATCCATGCTAGGACATTGCAAATAGCTTTCTAGGGTGTTCCTAAATGAGATCTTGTAGCTCACTAAGTTAGGATTCAACAAAACAAAATCTGTCTAGGGTATTCTTCTATGAGATGTTGTAGCCCACTATGCTAGGATACATCATATAGCTTCCTAAGGTGCTCCTATAGAGATATTGTCACTCATTTTTAGTCTGGCATTATGTTTCATTATAGGTCCTTTAGTCTCCCATTTCATCTGCTTGCTTTCTTTGCTGACCTAACTATTAAATTTAAAGTTGTTGGGTGCAGGTCTTCTTCTCTGGAATCAGACAAGGCAGCAGTGGATTGGAGATAAGAAGTCTCAAAACCATGAGCAACTTCAAGAACCCAGATTAAGGTGGCTAATCGTGAATGTCATTGGTTTATTAAATATGCAATTTTGAAACTTCTTATTGTGAGAATTATACACTCTTTCAAAAAGCCTCCCCTATTTCTTTCTTATTCAAGTGCTGGGAACGCATCAGAACACACACATTTACTAGTAGTTGCTTTCTTCCCGATTTAGTAGGCGATTGTTACATGATTCAACCATTATGTTCTGCAGTTGGAATGTGACCTACGAGAGTTTGCTTGGGACCAACAAACCTTTTCCGAAGCCCATTCCTCTCCATGTAAGTTTGCTTTAGTACTTGTGTTCGGGTTATGGTTATTCATTTGCATGCTGCTTACTTTTCCTAACTGCTTTGGGATTCAAATGACAGGAAATGGTAGATTTTCTTGTTGATGTCTGGGAACAAGAGGGGTTGTATGATTAATCTGACAAAACTACAATTACTTTTTTTTTTTTTTTGGTGGGGGGTCTTGATGATAGCATTTAAAGTCTTTTCTTTACTTCTTTCTCCTTTTTGATTGTAAATTTATATGGCTTTGGAACTGAAAAGAGATCCAGCAAATTGCTTGTATCACCAACTGAAATAACCATGTGATTGTTCGGACTAGTATTTATCATCTCCATTTGGCATTTCACGTAAATTGTGATCATTGAATTGTTTAGCTTGATATCCATTTCATATGTGTCCTGCACGAAAAGTATTGGGTACACCTAGCGCACCGTGCACCAGACTCGTTAAAGCCGTACGTGGTGTGCGCGCGGACGCGTATTATGCATGTACGGGCCTCGCTTCCTAGACTCAATGGGGGTAGGGGTGCACATAAATCCAGTAAAACCGGTGAACCAGTCCGAACCGAATTGGATTACACGGTTTGGTTTGGTCCGGTTTTGCTACAGTTCGTCGGATTCTAGCTCCAATTCTAAAGAATTGTTAACTTACAGATCAGTTTTGATTTGGGTTTATTAGGACTGGACCGAATCAAACCCAAATTTAAAGAATTGCCAACTTACACATCAGTTTTGATTTTGGGTTCATTAGAACTGGACCGAATCGAACCCAAATCTAAAGAATTGTTAACTTACAGATCAGTTTTGGTTTGGGTTCATTAGGACCGAACCGAATCAAACCGATAACTATATGTAAGACTGAGTTGACGAACCTTAAAACTAAGATCTCTAATCTCTCATGCCAACTCACAGCGCTTCCTCACCAAATCGAGCTTCTCTGTCAGTTTTAATTTTTTCGGAATCGTTGAGATTGATTCAATTGTAATTTAATCTGGTTTTGACCGAATTGAACTGTGTGCACTTCTAATTGGGGAGGTCAAATTTTGGAATCCCAAAATCTGAAAATTACATTGATTTGAAGAAAATTTAAAATCTAATTTCATTTGGGATTACATGTATATTTTTGGTGGTAAGCTAAGATTTTAATTAAAAGAACTTAAGGCAGGTTTACAAGGGCATCGTCTAGGATCAAAGAAGAACCGAAGCAACCAAACTCAAGAATAGAAAAACAAAATTACTTTAGAAACAATAAGCACCATGAAAATTTTGCATCCCAAACTCCATGATTATAGATGTGGTACTTATAAGGAGGATATCTCGTACGTTCGTAGAGGCATTTTTAAAATCGTGAACATGGAGAGTTGGTATGGCTGACAATTAACGCAGTGTGGGCATGTTAGGACAAATGGTATTAAAGTTAATTCTAAGTCGAAAATGGGGGAAAATTATTGAATACCCCGGGAGTACATACCCCGGGGCATACCAACCCTTGGATGTGGTGGGGCCATAATCCAATGACTCTCACTACCCCGGGATACCATACCCCCGTAGTATTCAATAATCTCTCGAAAATGGGAGAGCATGCACATGCCTATAATGGTGAAGCCAAGGTAGGTCATGTTTCTTAACTTTGTAAATGAATTTTGAAAATCGTGAACACAAAGTGTGTGTAAATGTGGAAGAGCCAATGAATTAAAATTGATAGTATGCCCCAACCAAAAAAAAAAAAATTTGTTGAAGAGAAACATTTAAGTTGAAGAACCAGAGATAGAATGCCCAATTGACAGAAGTCACAAAACTCAAACAAAGCTAAAAGAGCTGGAGGAGCAAGTCAATAATAGCCAACTCAGTTGGAGAATAATTTTTCTTTTATCACATAGGGATGTGAGGGTGACAACTCAATAATAGTGGACTCCTCTGGTAAAATTTTATTTTCTAAGTGTCTTGTATGTATGTATATATTTATATATGCACATTTTAAGAACATTGTCGGTGCAATAAAACTATATACAAGAATGGCTCAAAAATGGAATTCTTCTCACCGGCTTTGGAAGTTGTTTATTGAATTGTAGTAGCCTTTTTATTATTATTATTATTATTATTTTGGGTCTGTTTTTGTTTTGTTCGGTTGTTTCTTATTTGAAACGACTTATTCCATTTTCAAAATTTGATTGCACTTTTGATTAAGCATTGCAAACATAAGAGATAATAATAAAAGGAATGTTAATTGCAGTCGCGTAAGCGACTGTCCATTCATAATCGTCAGTTATAATAGGTTAATTTTGAATGTATTAATTACTTTGAATTTTTATTTTTATGGACTTTACAAACATTACTTTTTAGACAAAAATACTCTTTTAAATTATGTCTTTCTTCTTATCTTCTCTTTTAATCGATTTATATAGAATGTGTGCGTATGTGTGTGTATATATATAATAATAATAATAACTAATGTGATATGAATGGATGCTGAAAATAAAAAAAATAAAAAATAAAAATCCGAAAAAGAACAAGATAGATTTTGAGATTTAAAATATATATATACAAAATTAGTTTTATACACGTATATATTTCCTTTTTGGTGAAGAAATTATTTTCTTTTCTTTTATTTTCTTTTTTTTTTAAATCCATTTATACAAGGACAGTTGTAAAAATTAAAAATAAAAACAAAAAGAAACACACACACATATATAGGAAAAAACAAAAAGGAAGAAATATATAATCGATTTTTTTTTTTACCTTTCTTTTTATTCTTTTTGGATTTTTTTCTAGCTCTTTTTTTTTTCTTCTTCCTTTTATTTTTTTTCGAATCCATCCATCTCTTATGAATGAATTGTCTAAAAAATAATGTTAGTAGAGTCCCATAAAAATTAATTAAATTAATTAATACATTCATAATCTGTGACTGTGAATGGACAACATTCGTGTAATAATAATTGTATATATTAAGAAGACTTGAGGCGTCAATGTTTCCCATCTCCCAAACACGTCATGAATTCAACAAACCCCCAATTGACCCAATCCAATGAGTTTCACATTATTTTCATGGTAGATTCAATGTCATCGTTGGGTGTCTTCTTTTTTTTTTTTTTTTTTAATTAAAATGTGAAACCGCGTTTCAAACTTTTTCAACCCTCAAAATATCCAAATTAATGACTTCAACTAATTAAGATGCAAGCTTGGCCCCCATGGTCCCAACCCCTCCCCCCAACACACTCTCTCTCTCTCTCTCTCTCTCTCTCTCTCTATATATATATATATATATATATATAATATAATATAAAGTAAATGTAATTTACTGGGCTGTCTTGATTTCGTCAATATGCATTGGCTGAAATTTATATATAAATAACACAAACTTGTTGTCCATTAAATGTCAATATGATGAACAATAAAAAATATTGTTATATGTCAACAAATTTATATCTTTCAGATTACAATTTTACTCTTATAAGATTATTTATTGTAGTAAAATAAAATATATATAATGATAAAAATGTAATTACAAATCTGACAAATTTGACAAGAGAGTGACTATAATTAAGGTGAATGTTACTGTGGGCCAAAATATCTCTCTCTATCCACTGATTGGACACGGAATCTCTTCCCCTGAAAACACATAGTTGTTGTGGGCCAAAATGAATTGAAGTTGGCAGGAAAAGAGGAGGCAGCTCCATAATTTCCACAAGTTCAACCTCCCTCCAACACCAGAGAGAACAACGACACAATACGAAGTTTCCTCCACAAAATGTGTTTTGTACAATACTTGAGTACCACCATAGAATGATATATCATCAACATTGACTATTCATAAAAAGAGGTCAGCATTATCTCTCATTTCTTTTCTTAACTAATCCTATTATTTCCTTTCTCTGTCTTTCCACTGTACCAAACACAAACTTATTACAAGGTTGAGAGTAATCTCCAACTAACCCACTTTCCCAAAAAATAAAATAAAAACTCCAATTAACCCATTAAAAAAGAGCAATAATTTGGTAATTACTGAATTCAATTTATATGAGAGAAATGGTAAATCTCATCACATGATGTCATGATTACATCATATAATAAGCCGACCGCCCTACTCACATCAATTAAACTCGATGACTACCAAATTCGATCCTTAAATCATTATTCTTTAAAAAATAACAAGTCAACAAAAATTTGAATTAAAATATATAATGTTAGGAATTTATCACTTTAATGTGGCATTTACAGATTTTGCTTAATTATGCACTAGATTCTTTCTTAGAGGGTTTTATAGAATTAATTAGAAGTTGATCTAATTATGAAGTTTAAGTGCGCCAATTATTTGGAAGACCAAAAAAAGGTGACAGTGACAAAACTAAAGGTTGCTAAACTTATAATGGGATTGTGAGTTATACTCTTCCACTTATCTAAATCATTAACACTCAATTGTTTTAGGAATTATAGTCAAATTATGAATGATTTAATGGAAGAATATATAAATTAAGGTGTAGTTCTTGGTAGTCTTTGTTATTATGAAAATTTAAGTGTCTTTGATAGGAAGGGCTTTAATTAATTGTATAATATAACTAGCTTTAATGTCCTAAATTACTCTCACCTGAAAATCCGATAATAAAAAACCTCGCTTAGCACTAATGATAAAAGGACATATTGTCGAAACTTATATGGACCGTTTTGAAACACTAGGGGTCATATTGAGCCTGAATTTAGCTTATATTTGGCTGTTATCTTATTTAGGACTCACATATTAATAAAAGTTGGGTTCAATAAGACTTGATTTAGACAAAAAGTGGTTATTATAACATTACTAGACTATGTTTTTAGGAAAATAAATTCATAAAACAAGACAACTTGCGGTTATCTTATTTAGGAGTCACATATTAATAAAAGTTGGATTGAAGGAGACTTGATTTAAACAAAACGTGGTTGTTATATTATTACTAGACTATGTTTTTAGAAAAATAAATCCATAAAACAAACGGAGATAACGTGGCCTAGTGACTAAAATTCTCTCATGTACAAGTATCTAGTGGTGCGAATCCAACAATACACAAAAGCATCTTGTCACGTACTTATCAAAACGACTCCATCTGTAATTGAATTTCGCCACCATGAGTGGTGAAATTTATCATTTAATTAATGAAATTTCATCATTATAGCAACGGAATAAACCCTTACAATGGTGTGAGGTGGAATGTGCCATGCAAGGAAAAAATGCACTGGAGAAGAGATTTTGATCGGCGACCTAATGGTAGATAGGTATGCCTTCTTCTTTCAAGTTGAATGAAAAAAATTAAGTCTTCTCAAGTGCATTGTGAGTGTAATTATAAAGGA